GGGGGGCTGTAACATGGCTATATGACCAATGCTGGATGGCTTGAATCTGGCACTGGCTCAGAAAGTGAGAATTATGAACATGCCCAAATGTCTAAAAAACAAAATCCAAAGTATCCAATTTTGCATTTGTTGACTAGAAAAAATTTTGTTTTAACCAATTTGGTGGAAAATGTATGCTCAAAATCTCTTGATAGTAGAAGAGAAAAATAAGACTTAAGGGAGCAAAATGCAGGAAGAAACCTTTGATGCAGCTGTTACTGCACCATTCAGTGGGTGGCGAGCACAGCCATCTGAGTGGCACAGGTCAGTGTTATGAAATGTTATGAAAATGATTCCCCTGCCAGATTGCAAGAGGGGGGTAAAGTCTTGTCATGAAGGGCTCTCATTATCTCATGTGGAGTCCCAGAGGACTGACCCGAGAGAAATGTGCTCAATTGTAAAATGAGGCAAATGGCTGGACTAATTTTTCTCACTGGAAAAAATATTTGAAACATACAGATGAGTACCTTATTATCATCCTCAAGAAATGCAATCAAAGGTTTCAGCTAGCTCATCTGAGGAGTGTAGCTGTCACTTTCTTGCAGCTTAGGGTTAATGTGACTATGTAGTCTGTCCACCCTTCCTAAGGACATTCGTTGTTGTTAAACCTCTCCACCCATTACTCTCTGCTAGATAGAATATTTTCAACCAGCAGCAGTTACATAAATGCATACATAAATTGCTTGCTTACTTCCATAATCCTGAGGCAGTAAGAACTGGGTAGAAATTCTAGGTGAATGACTTAAGATTGTGAAATGGGTCAAAATGAGGTAGCACGCCTCTTTGGTGACCCACAGCCCTATAGATTATTCACATATATTCATATATAAGTATTCCCAACTACAAGCACCATTATTAAAAGCCCTTCAAAATTGAACTCATTGCCATAAAGCCAATTCTAACTCATAGTAAATACAGACTAGAACAGCCTAGAAGGTTTTCAAGGCTATAACCTGTACAGGGGCAGATTCACCAGGTGTCTTCTTCTCTGGAGCACCTGATATATTTGACCAGCCCACCTTTCAGTTAGCACTCAAGTGCTTCGCCTTGGCCATACCATGGCTCCCACCCTTATTGAGGCCATGTTTCATTCTGTTTTAAAGGGATTGGCAGTTGGGGGTGAAAGGATGGGGGCCTAAAATTGAAAGGAAGGAATAGTATCTGGAAGCCACATACATGATGATTATAAATTAAATTGCAACCACCCCGTATCCTTGCCTTTCAGTAGTGCCTTGAGCTACGGTCTCAACATTTCACTGAGAGAGCTAGAAGTCTGGGAAGTCCTTAAAAGGCTGTGCCCTCCTATCTGATGGCTAAGAGCTCTACAAACAGGAATTGCTGTTTTATGCACTTTAGAGGAAAAGATTTGGCTTTCTCTGAACTGGGCACATAGGTAGACTCAGTCTCTGATACCCTGTTGGGAGATAATGAACCAAGAGTGCCAACAGTGGTCATTCTTTGGAGATGGTAGTTCATTTCATGATATGTGAGCCAATTGTGTTGGGCACCATTGTTAACTACCAGTGAGCAAGCTGAAGTTAAATTCACTTGTCTTGCATTCAAAGAATTGTCAGATTGTACACCCAATTCTTTTTCTTTCAATTTCCTAATCTCGAGGGGCGAATATTATCAAGGGCTGGAGTAGTTCACAAGGCAGTTCTTGGGCAGTTGTTCTAACACAACCCTCTCTGCGGTTCCTTCACTCAGTGTTGCCTGGTCAGGTCTGTTTTCTACAGAGGCGGAGGCTCCTCCCACCCTCAGGACTAGTAAACAGCCTGCCTGGGGCGGCCCGCGTGAGGACGGATGATGAAGCTGCCCATAAGAACCTGGATAGTTGGGCTGGGCACTCAAATAGCAACTCCTTTCAAAACAAGGCTAAAAAAATAAAAGTACTTGAAACCTAATTCCTTATCCTCAGCTTCACACCGAAGAACTTTATTTTCTTGTTCTTTTTTATTTTAATAAGCTAAAATGTTATGGAAAACACATTTTTCTCAACTAGCTGCTTCAGAACCATATAGTGTGTCATGAAGCTCCATACGTTTGAAATGTTTTCAAAATCCTGACAGGACAAAGACAGTGCCCCCCTTTTTTATTTCTCCATCTGATTTTGGAAGGGAAACCATTCTCTTCCTTTTCGCCAGGGGCTCCCGCATCTAGCCAGGCCGCCGAACGAAAGGAGCCGCACGAAGAGTGGAGGAAAAGCGAGGTGGAGACCGGGAAAATGGACTGCCTCTCGGGCCGGAGCTGGTACTGACTTAGCGAGGGCGCTCTTGTCTGCTGCCACACGTCCCTGTGGACCTCCGGCCGGGCCAAACGGAAACAGCAGGCAGAGAGGCTGTACAATGGGTCCCCTGAATCATGCTACTACAAAACCAACACGAAGTGCAACGAGAAACCAGTCCCTGTGCATTCTCAGTCACAGCGGTAGACGGAGGAACCCACATGATTCCTTCCTTTGGTATTAAATAACAGTTTTTTAAAAAAGCTTTTTAGAAACAAAGCAAAGACATGGTGGGTCTGGAAATGGCAGCCACCCCAGGTTAGTTGTCCTCTCATCCCTAGTCATAAATAAATAATCTATTTCCTGGTCTGACTCCCAACGCCAGGATCAATATCTCTTAACATCTTACTTATTTTATTACTGCTTTTGGTTTTCTGGGACTGATTGAAAGTTGCTCAGAGGAAATCTTTGGTTTTGCTTAAGTGTCCGTGACATTTAATCATGACTTTCCTTGCAGTTTAATTCCAACCAGTCAATCAGTTAATCCACTTCGATTGATTCTGGGCTCTCGGTTATTGGCTTGCACTCATTGGGCATCCGCTGGTGTCGGCTCAGCTGGGTGGCCTGCGTGAAGCTCCTCTCACACCTCTCGCACCTGGTGGAGGCAAGAGAGAAAATTGAGACCAGGGAGCGGGGCCTGCAGGGTGATGGGCTTCCTCTCATCCTGCCTAATCAGAACAGACACTCCAAAGTGGCTTCAGATTTTACTAGCTCAAGAGGTTTAATTGGTGGCTCCTTTCAGGGCCTGGATGCCTGTGATGGGACAAAGCCCATCTGATGGTGAACAGAGGGATCTGTCAATAGGCAGGGGGAAGGTGATTTCTCCAGAGAGCCCTGTCCTGCTGCAGCTCGGATCCCTGTCAGTTCACATAGATAAAGAACAAAAAGAGATTTTTAGGAGTAAGCCATCAAAGCAGCAGCTTGTCTGCAGTTTTCTGCTCCGTAGCCCCAAAGAGAAATTGATGACAAATAGAATTTCACCTGCTGCTCATTTAAAAACAGGAATTCCCCTCGCTCGCTCGGCACAGCAGCCAAAGAGCGATCAGCTCTGAATTTGGAAACTAGAGGAAGCTGGATATTAATTAGTCTGCAGTGGTGGTGGGAGGGTGGGTTTTGCTGGCCACCTCTTGTTGTTGTTGTTGTTTATTTGTTCACTTTGAGCAAAAGCTAGGGTATCACCGCCCAGCCATATTTACAGTTAACACAATGCTGGGTGACAGGGAGCTCAGGAACTGGAAATCGATGAATGTCTGCATAGGTGGGGATGTTCGTGTCCCCAGAAAAGGCAGCGAATACATGTGGGCCAGGCCGTCTGATGAGGAGGAAACTGACTTCACTACCTCAACAATATTGCCTCTCTTTAACATAAAAAAAAGAAAAGAGAAGCAATCTAGAGACCGTGGGCCTTTCTCTCCATCTATTCCTCTCACCAAACACGCACTTCTAGGGTGATAGCTGTACAAGCGGCCAGAACAAACAGAGCCTGCCGCTGGCCTCCAGTGCCTCTGTTGTGTTCCTGGCTGGTGGGGTGTGCTGTGCACCTGTACAGAGATGAACGGTGCCGAGCAGCTCAGCGCAGACAGTGACCCCATCACCAGGACTGGCTAAGCACAAGGCTGGGGTCCAGCTGAGCCATCCCACGCATTCCTCTTCTCAAACCTTGGAAGAAAAACGGATCCAGGAGTCACTGCAGACAACTGTCCCTCTTCAAATGACACAACACGGGCTTTTCGAGTCCCTGTACTCCTGGGACTCTGGCAAAAGCCACCATGTGCTCCCGAGAACCATAGATAAAGAAGCCATAAGCCCAGTTACCCACTATGCACTCCTCCTATTCCTCCTCCTTACTGAATTATAGCAGGTGCCTCACAGCAGAAATCATTACTACAAACATAAAACACTCATCCACCACGGTGAGTTGTGCACACCTCAGCACGCGAGGAGGCTGGCGCTGGACTCATGCACTTGGATGTCTCGGGCTCTGCACCCCGGAGGGAGTCAGTGTGGAGTAGTTGTGTTTCTTTCATTGTTTTTCAAGGGGTACTTTTAGCAGCCTGTTCCACTGTTAAAAACTACAGTGTGATCTTGAAAAATGTATAATGTCAGCCTTAATGTGTCAGGCCTATCAGCTCAATGAAAATAACTCAGAAGTATTGATCACTTAGTGATTTTCGGTGGCTTCATTAACATCCATGGGCAGCTCATCCCCTCTCCAGAGCTCCCGAAGTGCTGATGACTCGTTCGCAAAGTGCTGATTATTTATTAGAAAACTGATTAGTTGCTGGATTAGTGTGTCAAAATATACTGCCTTTCACTGCTTGACAAACTTTCAAATTATTATATCTACACACACCCCTTTTTTTAAGCTCTAGAATCAATTTCAAAGACAGGGAGGAACTTGAGCAATTGTGAGGAATGTCAATTCACCTGGGCCATGATTGTGCTCTTCTGATCCTGTGTGTTAGAAAAGGAAGCATCCAGGTAAGTCGGACGTTTAGTGCCCCACATAAGGACTAAAACTTACCCTGTATGTCATATTTATACATCCAGACTGAATGGAGATAGTAAAATGAGAGTTAAATTTTGCTCAAGTGTTTGTTTAAATGCCTCACAGATGTCTATAGACATAGGACAACTATAGAACTCAGAAAAATTCACAAATCCAATTTACAGGGTTTACAAGAAGAAGATTGCTGTAAAATATCCTCTCTAGTGCCATCTGCTCAGTTAGAGTGAGTAAAAATGCACAGAGATGTGTGGAAAATTACCTTCGCTTCAGTTCCTTTCCTAGAAATTTCCATCTTCTTGAGAAGAGTGAGGAGTTGCAAGAATGCACATCATGTGTTTGTGGAAGCGAGAGAAGCTAGGTATAAAAATGTTTCTCTCTCTTTTTAAATATGGGAAAGGCCTTGGTTTTATGTTACTATCTTCCATTTCAGAAAAATTCCCTTCATGAAATATTTCCATAGTTTAATGAAACTCATCAAAACTAAAGTACCTAGGTGCTAGCAGGTCAGAGCCCTGGCTTCGAGCATTTAGCATATAATTAACACTAAATAACAATCCCAAACAAGTGATTGGGTGTAGATGTGTGTAAGACTGGGTTCGTGTGGAGTACAGTACTGTAGTGCACTAAGACAAGAAGCTCTGCTGCCCAAAGGCTGCTTCCCGAAAGTTTGTCAGTTTGAACCCATCCAGCAGCTCTGTGGGATATAAAATCTCATGATCTGCTCCTGTCAAAGGTGCAACCCAGGTCACCCATGAGAGCAGTTCTACTGTCCTGTGGGTGCCTGTAAGTCGCCTTACAACGCCATCAACAACAATTGAATCCGAGGGAAAGAAAGATGGGAGCAAACAAGAGTGGACGAAGGACGGGTGCCTGCACACAGAGAGCGTTCCTTGGCATCGGGGCTGCCCTCACAGCCTGGGAAGCAGCACTTCAGGAAGATGTGAGGGGCAAGTCTTCCAGATATTTCAGCAGAGAGTGTCTCCAACTTCCTACCGGCATGGGAGACCTCATTAGATTTGATTTCCTTTTAGGTTTGAGTTCATTGTTTGCTTCTTGCCATTTCTGATTGGATGATATGCACAGGAACCTTAACAACCGCCACCTGAGACTGACGGAGGAGCAATACCATGGAATGTTCTGGTCCGGGGAGAACTTGAGGTACGCTTTCTGTGCCTCTACAATCACACAACACTCGCAGAAAGGAGCCAAATGGCACTGGGTCTCACACACAGGATGTGCTCAATGTATATTTGTTTTGAATTTTGCCTAGATCTTGTTCCAACATCAGTGGTCCTTGGGGATATCCTCTCAGTTTTATACCAAGCCCAAACTGCCTTTATGTGAAGCAAAACTCGAATGATGGGCGGTCCCACCTGTTTCTAACCAAGTTGAAGAGAGGGATGCCGCCTGAGGACTGCCCTGGCTTGCTCTGACAGCTCCAGGCTGCAGAACCAGGCACCAAGCAATCCAGAAGGACCCTCCCAGGCAGACAGCGCAGCCTACCGGGATCTTGAGAGATTATTTTTAAT